CCTCCGAAGTTATGATCATCAAATATATATGGAGAGGGTAAATAAGATAGGGCTGAATCCATATGATAACAAGCGCTAGATTTTACTTAATGGAATTCAAACTCTCCCATATGGACATTGGCGAATTGGAATATATAAGCACCTGGTAGCATCTGAAATAGCTCCTGAGGAAGCAGAAGAAAGAGCTATGAAAGCTAGACTTCGTTTCAAAGAATAGATGCTTTATAACAAATATTTTTGGATAAAAAAATTATTAAAGAATGCTATAACTAATTATAGAAGTTTTTTTAATATTATATTAGAAACATACAAAGTCTTAGTTAATAAAATCCACACGTTAAAAATGCCTAATATTTTTGAGGAATGGAAAAAAAATAGTTATACCTGATACATGTTATCTGAATATGGTTTAAACTATATTAGTAATTTAAAAACACCAGAAGCTTGGCTACGATTTGCAAAGTATTATCCACCCGAATATATACGTAGATGTTTATTTATGCTAGGACATGAAATAAAAGATAAGAACTATTGGAAAAACTTTGTATTCTGTATTAAAAATAATTTAACCAGAAGAGAATATATAGCCAATAACTTTGAATTTAGAGAATTTAAAACCCAAGTAGTATATTTTAAAACTTTGTATATAAAAAATCGACCAGCTATTATCATCCAGTGAGCATATCGTTTATTGAAAAAATGAATAAATTCAGCTAAAATAATCCAGCGCACAGTAAGGAAATGGCTTTATCGACCAGGTGGCACATTAATGAAACGTGCTCAAGAATGATATTATCAAAATGCCAATAAACTTGAGAATTAACAGTAGATCGAGTGAATCTGGTTTTTTGTTCAAATAGAATTATCATTGCTTTATTTATTCGGTTAAGAAATTACTAATTTGTAAATCATAGCAATTGCTAGTAGATCGAGTGATCCACATTCATACTAATTAATTTGTGAATAAACAGATTGTCAAACCCGAAATTAGTTTTCATAAAATCTGCAAGATAAGTTTGTTAGTCTCTAAAATATTAAATATATAAACATAAGCAAATGGTTAATTTTAATACTTATCTGTCTATAATCCTTAATACCGTATACCAACTCTTTTAATTATAAAAAATTTTAACCTTTGAATATGGCTACTAATTCAACGCCTCAAAACGTTTCATGTCTCAAAAGCCTTGCTTTAAATATCCTTAAGAATGGCAC